TTCGTCTTCTACAATCTAATCCACCTGAAACATGAACCGATAAAGCCCTGAACCCTAATCTTTTTTTTGCTGGAGAACGACCGTGTTCTACAATGTCGTCGATGAACTTCAATCCATTTCAAAACTGGTTCGAGAAACCACCGAACCCAGTTCCTTCAATAAATTTCGTCTCTCTCGCTGATTCGTTCTTTCCCAAGTCTCAATCTCCGAATTTCGCTTCGATTGGACTTCCTAAATTCTCCAAAAAGTCCCAAAAACCCGAACCAGAATCCAACGAGCCCGGAAAGTACAAGCAAATCGCCGAGCAGTTCTTATGGGAGTGCGAGAACATACCGGATTACAGGCACACTCCGGAAGTGGAGAAAGTTCTGAACGAAGATCCAGTTTTCGAGAAGAAGGAGAATCCGAGCACAGAAGAGATCGAAGCTGAGGAGAAATGGTGGGAGAGATTTCGAGCGAGTCCTGTGGTTCAGTTTTTGACTCGTGCAGAGGAGATTGCAGACGATATGAACAAGATGGAGCTCGAGGAAAACGATACGCCTTATCGGAATGAAGACAAGGATTTATGGAGAACTGTTCCTCATGTGCCGGGTTTAGACGGTAGGCCAATGCCTAGGAAGGCGATCAAATCCAAGGAAGAGAGTGATGATAAGTTTTGGGATTTCATGAAACAGTTCCTCTTTGGACTTTGGGGTTTCAGGCAAAGGCCTTACCCTCCTGGTCGACCTATAGACGTGGCTCAGGCAATCGGTTACAAACGGCTCGAGAAGCGGTATTATGACTGTAAGTGCCTTCAATTTGCTAAACCAGAGTGTGATTTCTTGGTGAATTGATTTAACACTCTTTTTGTGATGATGTTATTGTATCGTCAAGGGAGAATGTTTGACTGTCGATGAGTTTGTCTCTACTAGGTTGCTTCAAATTGATGTTGTTAGTGTTTGTGGGGATTCTATCCAGATTCTGTGTTTACGTGCCGTAAGTAATCCTTGGTCATGACCCAGTGAGTGGCTATGTGATTACAAGCTCTTGTTGAACTGTATACTCATAGTTACTCGTGTTCACAGAAGTTCATCACTTCATATTGTTCAGCATTTTAAGCTGTTTATGTTCTACTCAAAAGATCCAAGCTTGCCCCTTGTAATGTTGTTAAATTGCAGGATCATGAAAGTGGTATTATTTTTGTTCATAAGCTTTTGTTTGCTCTTTGTCTATTGAAATTGTAGTCATAATGAAAACCGGTGGTTGGTGGTATAAAGACCGACTTGGCCGATCAAGAGGCCCTTGTGAGCTTATAACCCTTAAGACAGCTTATGGAGCAGGAATCATTGACAGAGATACTTTCATTTGGGGAGAGGATATGGATGAATGGGCGCCTATTCACATGATTTACGGTTTGGAACCTGCGATTGCCACTTGGGAAGGTCTGTATATGGGTGAATTTGAGATCTCAGCCGAATTTTTTGATTGAAGAATCACAATTTTCCCCCTTATAGCTTCCTATGAATTTCGTTGTTTACTCGCGTGTTTTTTTCAGTGAGGCTTGGTGCAGCGGCAACAGCGTTCCTACACAAACTCCAAAAAGGAATACCGCCATGGGTTCCTCTCAAGGGAAGAGAGCCAAAAACATACAAGCAGCTTCAAAAAGAAGCTATAGAGAGTAAGAAACGCGACATGGCAGTTCTCGAAGCAAACGATGGTGTTTGGCCTGGAGTCAGAACTCCCAGCCATGCTCTGTTTCTCTGGGCCAGTGGGTCTGAATTAACAACAATCCTGGAATCTGATCACATGCCGAACAAATTCATCCCCAAACAACTAAGGTATTAATCAAAGTCCCTTAACACCATTGACCGAAATTGGATTTGATTCTTCTCTCAAAGCATATGATCCCCTTTTGTTTTTAGGCAAGAGTTGGCTAAAGTAATACCAGGGTTAAGGCCATGGGAAGTGATAAGTATAGAGCAAGCGATGGATCAGATTAGCTATGGCGGAAAGTGGTACCGTGAGCCACTTGGTACCTACACTACTGGTCCTCCTTACATCAGAGAATGGAATAGGAATGTGTTGGTAAGTTTCTTCTACGCAAGCTTTTGACTCTCATTGTATCTTAACCGATTGACCTTTTCTCGTCCGTTTTTTGTATTTTCTGTTTGCAGAGATTGTTCCGGATTTACTACAACCTTAGTGTTCGGGTAGGCCAGAAGCTGGAGCAGACACTCCCTGGTTTCACAACTATAATGGAAAAAGTTCATAAGGATTATGACACTCGGATGGCTCGGAGGTTGAAGCGGAGGGAGCAGGAGATGAGAGAAGATGACCTGTATCATAATTCCGGCCGTAC